GCCAACCTAGATTAAATAGACAAATTCCTAGAAACACATGATCTACCAAAACTGAATAAAAAAGTGGAAAATCTGAATAGATCTCTAACTAGCAAGGACACTGAATCAGTAATCAAAAAACCTCCCCAGAAAAAAAAGCCCTGGATCAGACGGCTTCACTGGTGAATTCTACCAAACATTTACAGAAGAATTAACACCAATCCTCAAACTTCCAAAAAGCTGAAGTGGAAGAATCACTTCTTACTCATTCTATGGGCCAGCATTACCTTGATAACAAAGCCAGACAAAGATACTACAAGAAAATAAAACTACAGACCAATATCCCTTATGCATATTGATGTAAAAATCCTCAACAGAATACCAGCACCAGATGCAGCACCATATTAAAAGGATTATACACCATGACCAAGTGGGATTTATTCCTGGAACATAAGGACGGTTCAACATATGAAAATCAATGAATGTAATATACCACATTAGTAGAATTAAGGGAGAAAAACCACATGATCATCTCAGTTGAACCAGAAAAAGCATTTGACAAAATTCAACACCCTTTCATGATAAAAACACTCAGTAAACTAGGGATAGAAGAAAGTTTCCTCAACATGATAAAGGCCATATATGAAAACCCCACAACTAACATCATACTCCTTGGTGAAAGGTTGAAAGCTTTTCCCCTAAGATCAGGAACAAAACAAGAATGTCCATGTAGATTTCTATTCAATATAGTACTAGAAGTTCTAACCAGAGCAATTAGGCAATAAAAGCAAATAAAAAGCATCCAAATTGGAAGGGAAAATGTAAAATTATTTCTGTTTGAGGATGACACAATCTTATACGTAGAAAACCCTAAAATCACAAATACACACACACACACACAGAACTAATAAACTAATTCAGCAAAGTTGCAGGATATAAAATCAACACACAAAAATCAGTTGCATTTCTGTACACCAACAATGAACAACTGGAAAAGAAAATAATTCCATTTATGACAAAAAGAATAAAATTCTTAGGAGTAAATTTAATGAAAGAGATGCAAGACTTGTACACTGAAAAGTATAAAACACTGCTGAAAGAAATTAAAAAAGACAAATAAGTGGGAAGACATCTTGGGTTCACAGACTGGAAGACTTAATATTGTTAAGATGACAATACTACTCAAAGCAATCCAGTTGCATTGTGATTACTATCAAAATCCCAACAATGTTTTTTGCAGAAAGAGAAAAACCTATCCCCAAATTCCCGGAATCTCAAGGGACCATGGTAACCAAAACAATCCTGAAAAAGAAGAACAAAGTTGAAAGATTCACTTTCCTGATTTCAAAACTTACTAGAAACCTCCAGTAATCAGTATCAGTTGGTACTGGCATTAGGATAGACATATAGACCCATGGAATAGAGAGCCCCAAAATAAACCCTCACATATATGGTCAGTTGATTTTTGACAAGGGTGCCAAGACCACTGAGGAAAGGACAGTCTTTTCAATAAATGGTCCAGGGAAAACTGTATAGCCACATGCAAAACAATGAAGCTGGGCCCTTACTTTACATTACATAAAAAAATTAACTCAAAATGGATCAAAGACCTAAATGTAAGAGCTAAAACTATAAAACTCTTAGAAGAAAACATAGAGGAAAAGCTTCATGATATTCTCTTTGGCATAGATTTCTTGAATATGACACCTAAAGCATAGGCAAAAAAAAAAAAAAAAAAAAAAGATACACTGGACTATACTAAAATAAAAGACTTTTGTACCTCAAAGGACACTAACAAGACAATGAAAAGAAAATTCACAGAATGGGAAAAAAATTAGCTAATCATATATCTGATTAGAGATTAATATCCAGAATATATGTAGAACTCCTACAACTTAACAAAAAAACCAAAAACCAAATCCAAAAATGAGCAAAGGACTGAACAGACATTTCTCCAAAGAAGGTATACACGTGGCCAAGAAGCATGTGAAAAGATGTTCAACACTACCAATCATTAGGGAAATATACATCAAAACCACAATGAAAAAACTACACTTTACACCCATAAAAATAAGTGTTGTCGAAGATGAGGACCAACCCTGCTGCATTGCTGGTGGGAATGTAAAATGGTGCAGCCACTATGAAAACAGTTAGTGGCTCCTCAGAACTTCAAATACAGAATTGCCATATGATCCCGCAATTCCACTGCTAGATATACACTCCAAAGAACTGAAAGCAGAGACTCAAACAATACTTGCATACTAATGTTCATAGCAGCTTTATTCACAATAGCCAAAAAGTGGAAACAACTCAAGTGTCCATCAACAGATGAATGGATTAAAAAAATGCAGTATTAATCATACAGCAGAATATTATCCAGCCCTAAAAAGGACTGGAATTCTTACAAACATTATGCTAAATAAAATAAGCCAGACACAAAAGGACAAATATTGCGTGATTCCACTTATATGAGAATAGGGAAATTACCTAGAATAGGGAAATTCATTGAGACAGAAAGTAGAATAGAGGTTACCTGGGGTTGGAGGGAGGGGGAAATGGGGAATTAGTATTTAATGGGTATGGAGTTTCCTTTTGAAATGATACATAAGTTCTGGAAATGGATATGGCGATGGTTGCACAACATTGTGAATGTACTTAATGTCACTGAATTGTACACTTAAAAATAGTTGAGGGTAAATTTTGTTATGCATGTTTTACCACAACTTTTTAAAAGAAGATACAACATTTATGGAAGGGTGTTTGGCAATACCTAACTAAATTACATATGACTTACCTTTTAAGTCAGCAATCCCACTTCTAGGAATCTACCCTGAGGATACATCTCCAAGAATATGAAAATACATATGCATAACATTATTTATTATAACATTGCTTATAATTGCAAAATATTGGAAATAACCCATATGCCCATAAATAGGAGACTGACTGAACAAAGTATGTATATATAATGTACTACTATGCAGTTATAAAAAATAAGGATGATCTTTATGAACTGATATGGAGTGATCTCTAGGATATACTGTTAAGTGAAAGAAGCAAAGTGCAAAGAGTATAATATGCTTTCCTTCATGTAAGCAAAAAGGGGATACAAGGAAATACACATGTATCAACTCATTTGTGCAAAAAGAAATACAAAGAGGGTACAGCAGGAACTAATATGATTGGTTACCTACAAAACGTGGGCAGGAATGGAGTGCAAAGAAGAGGAGAATGGGACCAGGACAGTAGGTACACAAGGGGAAGGATACTTTGAGTATAGCTTTTTTGTACAGCGTTCCGGAAACAATGGTAATATTCCAGGTATTCCAAAAATAAGAACAATTTAAAGTAACCATGAAGTGGGGGGAACACAAAATAAAAACAGTCACAAATGAATGTAAGTGTATTACAAATGAATTACATAACCACAAAGAAAGGAGGGAGGAAAACAACCAACCTATGTAACTGGAAACCCGTATTTTGACAGTAAGGCTAACGACAAAAAGAACTGTACACAAATAATACCTCTGTTAGGAAATTTCTAACAGGGATACGGGTTAGCAATTCTAAAATTACTTTATGTGTATATTACAAATGAACAAATATATTGTGGATAATTAGAGCCAGGTTTCTCACTGCAAGAGAAGGAAAAGGACTTCTTGGAAATATGGTTGGTTCTAGGACTGGGGCATGGAAAACATAAGTTGAGCCTGGTTCATCACATGGTAACAGAAAGTAAGGAAGTGATTAAAAAAATAATGGGCACACCGAAAGGATATAGGAGGCAACCTAAAGGAGCTCCCAATGGCCAAAGCTAGGACTCTGAGCAACAAAATGATATTAGTAATAGAATAATATAATATATATACAATAATGGAATAAAATAAATATCTATGAGCTCATACTGATATAAACAACTGAATAAACAGATGAGGGAAAAAGAATAGCTCTTCCTCACAGTAGAATTATAATTAATAAGTGTAGAAGGAATGATGGAAACAGAAAACCATCGTTAGGTAAACACTACAATTAATAACTATTATAGTCGGAAACCATTAATGGATGCTAAAATCAGTGAGCAAAAGGATGTGTGCATAGTCTCAAAGAGACTTATTAATTAGAAAGGAAAAAATTGGCAATTTTATAGTGGAGAAACCCGGCAGACAGCACCTTAAGAAAGTGGTCAAAGTAAACCTAAGATAAAACATGCTATACCCCTACCTCACTGGTGTGATGCACTGAGAAAGGAATAACATGATTTCTCTGGTATTCTTGAAAGAAATGCATAACCTCAACTGAATCCATGAGAAAACATCAGACAAACCCAAACTGATGGACATTCTACTAACAACTGGCCAGTGCTCTTTACATGCATCAAGGTCATTAAAGACTGAGGAACTGTCACAGATGGAGGAGACTAAAGGAGACACGACAACCAAATGCAACGCTGGATCTTGGATCAGAAGAGGACATTAATGGGAAAACTAGTGATATTTGAATAAGGTCTACATATTAGTTAATAATATTCTACCAGTGTGAATTTTCAGCTTTACTATGGTTTTGTCAGATGTTAATGGGAATCTGAGTGAAGAGCATATGAGAACTCTGTGCTATTTTTACAACTTCCTATAAACTTACAATTATTTAAAAATAAAAAGTTAAAAAAAATAGCCTGTCTAAATCCTTGGTAAGCATGGTTTGGTGGATTCATAATTATTCACCAAACTGAACTAATACTACTCATAATTATTTTTAATTTTGAAAATCTTGAGAGAAGTCTCCACCTTCGGCATTCCCTATCATGTGTTTACACTTTTATAATAACGTAGTGGTGCATTTATGTATTAACATGTTTTTTACACCCACGACGGTAAATTCCTTGAGAATAGGGACTAAGATTTAGTTATTTCTACATCCTCTGTGACTTGCAGTCTTTGTCGAAAGGAAACACTCAATAATTGTATTCTGAATGAATGAAAATTATGTAAAAGAGCTCAATGCTATAGGAATTATTTACTTACGCTCCACAAAGGAAGTAAAGAGCATTCTAAACCTGCTAAGCCGACTACCTTCATCTGCCCACATTCGTATCACTCCAACTCCTGTTTTAAGCATTACATCATTGGCCACAGTGCTGCAAAACTTGGCCTTCAGATTTTCAATAGAACTGCTTCCATCATAGACTGCAACGAAGTTTCTCTTGCATTCATTTGAGTGCTCCATTTGATAATCTAGGAACCTCAAATAAATCTGTAACATTAAAACAAAGAAAACACTGCTTTTAAAAAGACACATTAATTTGAATTTTGTTGTTCTATTACCCAGTCAACATGGAAGACTGAACTGAATTATGACAGCTGACAGAAAAACAATAGATAAAAGGCTGATGCCTATGTACTTAAAGAACTAAGTCTAATGGTCTGTTTCTTTGGTTGTCTTAATAATGGAACCAAGCACTAATAAGGAACCTAAACTTTGTGTTCCGTCTACAAAGAGAGGAAACCTTTTGCTCCATGAGGTATGACTGTATTGCACATTTGCCTTCTTATAAAAGCAATCTCATGGTACTGACAAATTGGGAAAATAAAAGAATCATTCATATTTCTACTACTCTAACAATCACTGTGATTAATTGGTGAGTTTCTTTTCAGGTCTCCACATTTTTAAAACCTACACATTTTACAAGAATAAGCTTACTTGTAAGATACATATACCCTGCTTTTGCTCTAACACATGAACTGTTTCTATCCTATCTATACTCTTCATAACCATAATCATTCCCATGATGTCCTGTTATTTACCCACTATCTGACTATTGCACACTTAAGTGGTTTTCAGATTTTACCCCATAAATAAAAATTCTACATTTTCAGTCAGGAAGATTTGAACTATAGTATCAAAATCAGCACTACTAGTATTCTATTTTATTTATTATCCTCGTTCTTCAAATTTTATAAGGCAGCTTGGTACCTGGCACTAAGTTATTTCTTAAAATATGCTTGGCCCATTCTTGTTTGAAGGTTTCCTTTAGATTGTAGGCTTTGAAAGACCTTGAGAATTAATCTTTAAGTTGTGGGCTTAGAAAGACTTTGAGTATAATCTCTAAAAGAACTGAATGAAGTAGGTATCATTTATGGGCAGGGAGGAAATTAAGGCTCAAGAGAGATGAAGGAACTTGCCCAAGGTTACCCAGGGCGAGATATGAACTTAGGTTGGTCTGACTCTGAAGAGCGCCTTCTTCCCACTCCCTGGGATGCCTTCTGTGTGCATGCATGTGTGTACACACACACAGTTCACTCTATAATTAAAATAAAATTTTAGTGAGTGAAGAATAAAGATTTCCTTTGGTTGCCACTGAAGACATCTGATGACCATTCACTTTCTAGTTGCTATCTCTAAAGCAGCAATATGATGCCACCTTCATCCTTTAATTTAAGAGGTTTCATAAAAGAAAAATGTAATGTCAGATTTTTCCCCCTGAAATACCTTGATGGCATAAAACTAAGAGCAAACAACTAAAAAAATATAGCTCAAAAACGTTACATTTTGACCAAGTAACGTTTACCACTTCCATGAGAATGGTAGAAAATTGGTAATGAAATAGGATTTCCATTTCAAAACTTCAAAGAATTTTCAAAATGTATTTTGAAACAGAAGCAATATGTTTTCTCCAATATATCATCTGTTCTCATTAATTTCTCCATCATTTATATAACTAAAACACTCTGTCCATGGTTCTGTTATTATTTGTCTTCTCCATTAGACTGTAAGGTCTTCCAACAAAAGGATCATATGCTAATCATATCCAGTAAAATTCTTGCTCATAGAAAGTAATGACTACGTTTATAAAACTATGAATTCGTACAGCTAAATATCAGGAAAACAATCAAGAAGTCTGAAGTATTTACTCTCTGCTTTTTTTTTTTGTGAGGAAGATCAGCCCTGAGCTAACATCCGATGCCAATCCTCCTCTTTTTTTTTTGCTGAGGAAGACTGGCCCTGGGCTAACATCCATGCCCATCTTCCTCCACTTTATATGGGACGCCGCCACAGCATGGTTTGACAAGCGGTGTGTTAGTGTGCGCCTGGGATCCAAACCTGTGAACCCCGGGCCGCCGCAGCGGAGCGCGTGCACTTAACTGCTACGCGACCGGGCCGGCCTGTCTCTCTCTGCTTTTTTTTAATCCAAAGAAATACGGTATTGTACAAGTCACAGTAAATGCTCTTTAAAGATATAAATTTTTAAAAGTCAAAAGTTTTAAGGTAAGTCATATGATAAGAATGGCATTCTTTTCTAGTGTGAAAACAGTTAAATACTGTAGTTTAGTTCAATTAATTTTCAGAAAATATTCCTAACAATATGAATCTGACAAATTGAAATGGTTGGAGGGCACAAACTACTCTTCTCTCACTCAGCCTGCATGAGAAGAGATCTTTTAGTAAACACTCCTGCTCTCTTATCCTACCCTCCCCTCCCCAGGGAGGCAGAATGTTACCTGGATGGTGAGGAATTGGGTCTCTTTTTTCCTTTCCTCTTTCCCTGGACGAGTAGGAAACAGTGACCTGAGTAAGCAGATCTCTTTTGCAGATGCAAACTGCCCTTGGAATGGGATAGTTCAGGGTAGACTTAAGTGGAGGTGCAGTTGGTGGGAGAGGAATTAGCAAGTCTAATTTGACTCTCTCACAAAGCTGCTTTCCCTAGCCCTTACTGTAATAAAGCGGCTATTCTGAATCCTCACATTCTCAACTGGTTCGAAACTCCAGTGGGGAAAAGAGATGTTATTTATTGGAATCCCCAAAGGCCCCAACAGAAATGCAATGAAATCCCCAGAAAGCCACTATTTCTTTTTTTTTTTGTGAGGAAGATCAGCCCTGAGCTAACATCCATGCTAATCCTCCTCTTTTTGCTGAGAAAGACCAGCTCTGAGCTAACATCTATTGCCAATCCTCTTCCTTTTTTTCCTTCCCCAAAGCCCCAGTGGATAGTTGTAGGTCATAGCTGCACATCCTTCTAGTTGCTGTATGTGGGACGCGGCCTCAGCATGGCCGGAGAAGCGGTGCGTCCGTGCGCCCCCGGGATCCGAACCCGGGCCGCCAGCAGCGGAGTGCGTGCACTTAACTGCTAAGCCACTGGGCTGGCCCAGAAAGCCACTATTTCTATGGAAAGGTCACAGATAAAAGTGGACTAAAACACTACTTGCATACTCAAACACCAATAACTTCTTTTGTATACATAAATGGATTTTTCTTGAACATCCCCCATTAACTAGTTTATCTCATTTTGAGTATTTAAGGGTTATGGTGGTCTTTAACATTTTTTCCTTTAAATTTCTTAAATAAAATCATCTGTTTACTCATTTAACACTTAACAAACCTGATCCAATTCCCATGTCAACTGTATATATTTCTGTTTAATTTCTAAAAATTGATTTACTTTTATTAGAAGTAACATTCTCCAATATTCAACACTCCAGGTAACACTCCTGAAAATTTTATCAATGTAGAATCTAAGAAATATAATTTCACTTAAATACTCTATTAAATATTGTCAAAAAAAAAACTATACGTATTACAAATATAGCTGAAGCCTCCTGTGTTCTCATTCTTTCCTACATACCCTAATGCAGAGTTTGATTTTTATAAGTCCCATGCATTTTTTTTTTTTCTGAAGATGATTCGCCCTGAGCTAACATCTGTTGCCAACCTTCCTCTTTTTTTCTGTGCACCACAGCTTCAGCATGGCCGCTGACAGACAAGTGGTTTGGTTCCCTGCCCAGGAACTGAACCAGGGCTGCTGAAGCGGAGCGTGCCGAACCTTAACCAGTAGGCCATTGGGGTTGGCCTGTGCACGTTTTTGTATCTCCGTGTTTATGTGTCTACAAAAATATACAGTATTGTTCTGTAACTTTAAAATCTTTTACCAATTGTAGAAATAGATCACTATTTATTCACTACCCTTTTGGACAGTTAGTTTGCTCCCACTTTTATTTTTTGTGAGGAAGATCAGCCCTGAGCTAACATCCATGCCAATCCTTTTTTTTTTCGCTGAGGAAGACTGGCCCTGAGCTAACATCCACGCCCATCTTCCTCCACTTTATGTGGGATGCCGCCACAGCATGGCCTGACAAGCGGTGCACTGGTGCACGCCCAGGACCTGAACTGGGGCTGCCAGCAGTGGAGCGGGCGTACTTAGCCGCTATGCCACAGGGCCAGCCCCTGCTCCCACTTTTTAAAATATTCAATAATACTGCTACAAACATTCTTGTACTCTCATTATGCACATGTATGATGATTTCATTTGGGTATGTATCTAGAAGTGTAGTTGCATGTTGTAGGACATGACTATTTTCAACTTTACCAGAGCATGCCAAACGGCTTTCCAAAGTGGTTGTAGCAATTTATCCCTCTAAAGCAAGTTAAGAGTGCTTCTGTTACTCAATCCTTGCTGACACTCGGTCATGTCAAGTAACATACTGTAAAATTCTTTGACAAATGCAGAGTCACGTGACAGCCACCATAACCGAGAACAGTTCCATCACCCCACCAAAAATTCTCTTGTGCTGCTCCTTTGCAGTCAAAACTCATCTCCAATCTTGATTCCTGGCACCCAACGACCTTTCGTGGTACTTTGGTTTTACCTTTCCCAGAACTTCATATAAACAAAATCACACAGCATGTATCTGTCTGGATTCTTTCACGTAGCACGATGCATTTGAGATTCTTCTACGTTACTGCAGGTACCAAAAGTATGTCCCTTTTTATGCTGAATAGATTTTGCTGTATGGACTTAACACAGTTTATTCTTTTAACAGCTGAAGAACATTCGGACCGTTTCCAGTTTTTGGTTATTATGGATAAACCTGCTATAAACATTTATGTACAGTTTTTTTTGTGTAAACATTTTCATTTCTCCTCAGTACCCATCCAGGAGACTGCTGAATCACGAGCCAACTTTATAAGAAACCACCAAGCTGTTTCTCAAAGTGGCTATATCATTTTGCATTCCTGCTAGGAGTGTTATCAGATTTTTAGTTGCTCTACATAGTTCCCAGCACTTGGTATTGTCAAGTTTTTTTAAGTTATAGTTATTCTAATACAGGTATAGTGCTATCTCATTGTGGTTTTAATTTGCATTTTTGTAATGACTAAATCATCTTTGGTGAAGAGTCTGTTCAAATCTTCTGCCCATTTTTAAATTGGGTTGTTTCCTTATTGTTGAGTTTTCAGTACTGGATTAAAAAAGCCTTTTG